AGAGACCGCGAGCGAGAGGTCATAGAGCTAGGGTTAGGGTCGATGACGATGAGTCCGACCATGAGGAGATACCTAGACGGAGAGTGAACCCTAGACCGAGAGATAGACCTCGTAGGTGGGCAGACGATGTCGAGGAAGAAGAAGAACTAAGACCTCGACAACCTAGAGGGCCTAGTAACGACCTTAAGCTTAAACCGCCCCTCTTCGTAGGAAAAGTAGATCCCGAAGCACACCTAGATTGGGAGCGCTGTATGGATAACATCTTCGAATGTTATGCATATTCGGATCGACGGAGGGTCCAATATGCCGCTGCTCAATTAGCAGAGAATGCGCTAGCTTGGTGGGATCGGGAAACCACCGAGCGACGACGAGCTCACATAGAGCAAGTTGGGACTTGGCGTGAGATGAAGGTCCTTATGCGCAAGAGATATGTTCCTCCGCATTTCCACCGAGAACTTCAAAGGAAGTATCGGAAGCTAGCCCAAGGAGCTAGGCCGGTGGAATAATATTTTGAGGAGTTCGAACATATTAGGAGTCGATTAGAGCTCGAAGAGGATGAGGAGACGGTGATGGCTCAATTCTTAGATGGACTCCAAGAACGTATCGCTCGTAAGGTAGAGCGCCATCCTTACCGTGATCTCCACGAACTCAGACCCTTCTAACTTAGAAATACGCTCCATCATTTGTTGTAGGGCTCGAAAAATCTCTTGGTTGCTAGACGACCCTATCTCCAATCTGTTAACGAGCAAGGAGAGCAGATGGAGGATTCAGAACATGAAGACAAGCATCAAGGAGCATTACGGAGCAAAGTACAATCAGACTTAAGCATCAAAACGTAAACTGCATGGAGATAGCTTCTTACGTGAGCTGCATGGGACGAAACTTTGGAGGCAAGCATTTGGATCAGATCACACAAGTGGATGCAACAAATAAGGCAATGAATGAGTTTTCGAGATCAACATAAGAAGAAAAGGAAAACATATTCTGCTGATTTGTTGTAATTTGATATATTTCCATTTCCTGTTTTGGCAATATCACATTGCCTTTTCTGTAGATTTTCTAGCCGTTTTCTATTCTCTTCTCCAGCAGATTTCGACATGTATATATCTAACCTATTGTGTACAATTTCTAAATAAGAGAGAGTGAATTATTCTTCTTCCTTTTGTCTCTCAAGAACCCTAAAATCGCATCTCATCTTCTTCATATTCTCGGCTGCTCTTTGAAGCACTTAACCGAGATTTCTCTTCTGTTTTGTGTTTAATCTAACACAAATTTATAAAATCTATATGGTATCAGAGCACTAAGGTCCTTGACCCCTCTGTTTACATTCATTCTTTTGATACTACTCAGTTTTCTTCTCCCATCGAAATTGCTATGGATGCTCACCAGAAACTCATTCCTATCACCTTGTCATTCCCTATTTTGCAGATTTTATTCCTTCGTTCTTTATTCGAGGACGAGCATGGATCATGCATGGGACTTCCTCCTCGGGAATACATCGCCTAAAGAGGCCATCCTTGCCTCTTTTGAAAAGGAAGGGTTCTTCCTAGAAATACTCCTTGACGTCTCTGAAGAACCTCTTCCTCCCGTTATAGTCCAGCTCGTGAGGAGTGTACCCGCTAACAATGAAGTTAACAAAATCTGCGTACCACTGGTCCCTCTCCCTGACTTGCACCGCCATCACATGATCATCCCGAAGATAGTCATTAATTGGAATCTTCTCATGGCATTCAATTCGGGAAAGATGGTCGGCCACTCCATTCTCTGTACCTTTTTCTATCCCTGATTTCCAAGTTAAACTCTTGCAGTAAGAACACCCATCTAATCAGTCTAGGCTTGGCGTCTTTCTTGGACAGAAGGTACCTCAAAGCAGCATGGTCGGTATAAACGATTACTTTCGACCCGACCAAGTAGGACCGAAACTTCTCAAAGGCAAATACTATGGCGAGTAGTTCCTTTTTGGTTATGGAATAATTCATCTGAGCATCGTCTAAGGTCCTACTCGCATAGTATACGGCGTGGAGCTTCCTGTCTTTCCTCTAACCCAAAACAGCCCCCACTGCAAAATCACTAGCGTCGCACATAAGCTCAAAAGGAGCTTCCCAGTCCGGAGGCTGAATGATGGGCGGAGAAATCAACGTCTTCTTCAGAGTCTCAAAGGCGGCGGGTGAACTCAAAAGGCACCTTTGCAAGCAATTCGGTCAAAGGCCTTGAAATCTTGGAAAGTCCTTGATGAACCTCCTGTAGAACCCGACATGTCCCAAGAAACTCCGGATTCCCTTAACATTCCGTGGAGGCGGCAACTTCTCTATCACCTCGACCTTAGCCCGATCAACCTCAATCCCCTTGCTTGAAATCTGGTGGCCTAGCACAATGCCCTCTCCCAATTAAGCACAAGATTCGCCTCGACGCACCTGTCCAACACTCGACGCAAATTCATCAGACACACGGGAAAGTAGGGTCCATGGACAAAAACATCATCAATGAACACCTCCATAACATCCTCAATAAGATCGGAAAATATTGCAGTCATGCATCTTTGAAACGTCGTCGGTGCACTACACATACCAAAAGGCATCTTACGATATGCAAAGGTGCCATATGGGCATGTAAATGTGGTCTTTTCTTGATCGCTAGGGTGAATGGAAATTTGGAAGAATCCCGAATAGCCATCAAGAAAACAAAAGTGGAAATGCGTGGCTAATCTCTCTAGCATTTGGTCGATGAAGGGCAAAGGAAAATGGTCCTTACGGGTGTTCGAATTCAGCTTCCTATAGTCAATGCACATCCTCCAACTCGTAACCGTCCTAGTGGGTATCAATTCATTATGTTCATTTTCCACTACAGTGATACCCCTTTCTTTGGAACAACTTGCACGGGACTAACCCATGCACTATCCGAAATCGGGTAAATGATACTCGCATCTAACAATTTAAGCACCTCTTTCTTCACTACCTCCTTCATGGTGGGGTTCAATCTACGTGATGCTCAATGGAGGTTTTGGAACTATCCTCTAAGTGAATGCGATGCATACAAAGAGATGGACTAATGCCTCTAATATCATCCAAAGTGTAACCCAATGCATGCCTATACTCTCTAAGCAAAGTCACTAAGGTAGCTAGTTCCTCATCAGTCAAAGCAGCATTCACAATAATCGGGTAAGTAGAATTAGGACCGAGAAATTCATACCTGAGCCCTTGTGGTAAGGGCTTCTTATGATATGCAAATATATATCCCGGTTAAATTGTTTTCTAGATTTACTGATATATATATATATATGAATGTATATATGTGTATATAAATTTATTTTTTTTAGTAAAGAACAAATGGCTATAAATACTTTAACTAAAAAAGACATTATAAAAACGTGATACTATTTTAAAGTTAATGTATTCTTGAGAGTCTATTTATTCAAATTTCAAGGCTTAATTTTTTCCACAATGTAATTGTTCCACCAATGGAGAATGTATCATTCCAAAAAACGTATTAATTAAACATAATTGGTAATAAATTTGAGCGGAGTAGGGACAGACCGGCAAACCAAGATAAAGATGAGTTAGAATCAGGAACTGGTCAGCCGGACCAGAATTGTTGGGTTTGCCTGGGATCTCCAGAGCGAATCCTATTCCTAAAAGATCGATTCTAGGGTTTGCGCAGCGGATGTAAAACAAAAATTTGAAGAAAACCCTAGAACCATGCATGCATGCTTACGTAGAAACGTTAGAACGCTTACCTCAATCGATCCGGGGCCTGTTTCAATTGATCCGTTCGTCCGATCACTCAAGGCAGGAAGATTACCTCGCCCTCTACACGTATCCACACCTCGGGATGGATTCCAACGATTGGAACTTGTCTACTAGGACCCGCATCTACTATTCGGTATTGTGCTTCGAGAAAACAAGACTTCGATCACACTTCGAACCTCTTGGATCTCACCAAAAACTGTAGAACAGTTCTAAAGTCGGCTCAAAAAGTCTCACCCTTAATTAGGATTTTAAGCTCCTTCTTATAAGGTGATTTAACCCTAATTTCGGTCTAATTTTCGAAAACCTGAACGTCGGAACGGACGGTCCAGAAATGCACGTGGACCATCTGTTCCAGCTCTGCAGAACGGAAGGTCTGCCTTCAGTAGACCGTCGGGTCTGGACCTGGCAGACCTTCGGGTCTGGCCCTTTCGATCCGTCCATTCCAGCCCCTTCCGTCTCGGTTTTTCGTCATTTTCTCGTGCGTTTTGTCCTTCCCTGCGTGTGTGACCCTGTAGGCTCATTCGATATAGCAGTATAACGCGAAATCTCTATTTCGGATATACAAGTCATAGGCAGTCTCTAGCAAGACACTATGACTACCTATCTCGAATAGAGTTTGTTCGTGATCTTACGAACGCCAGTGATGATTCCGGCTAATGATCCTTTTGCATCACGATATCATATGTCGAACATAAGGCATGGACGAGCCACTTTATCTGATTCGACTGCTTTCTCGTTCAGTGAGTTCGACTGTCTGAAATAGACGACGCTCGTCTATAGTGCGACCACACATTTCTACAGTCTCACTCACACGAGGGACCCAACAATATCTCTCTCTTTTACAAGAGGTGCCAATCCCGTCTTGACTATCTACAATGCAGTACATGATTCGTGTCGTACCTGATACATGCCTTTATAGTTCTCCTGTTACGCAGAACGTTTGACGTATTCAAAGCACGCAACTCCTAATGTTGGATTCCATAGATATCTCAGGTTTTAGGATCCAATCATGGAACCGCCATATGAGATTCGAGTCATGACGCTAGTCCATGTGACAATCTCATGCGGGTCAATCCAGTATTCTGTTCTCCAACGAATACCTATGATTGTGATTGTGTCCAATACCTATGATCATCTATATGGTCATCAATCACACATCATACTAGTTTTGGTATATCATTATTCCCACAATGATACATGACTACGGAGTTTAGTATTGTTCATAACAATACATGGATTTCATAACATATTAAGTATGCACAATACGTAATGAATCAAACACTCATCTATAAACTCATAGAAAGTGTCAATACATCAAATGCATCTAAATAAAGCTCGCAAAACAGTACATCATAGAGCACTAAACCAACAATCTCCCACTTGCTCTAATCATGGACTGCTAAACATCTAATGCCCATATCCCTAACATGACCCTCATGCTTCGACGAAGGGAGAGGCTTCGTCAACGGATCGACAATGTTGTCATCTGTTGACACTCTGCAAATGTGCACGTCTCCTTTGTCTATGATCTCCCTGATAAGGTGAAATCGTCTGAGTATGTGTTTGGATCGTTGATGGGATCTGGATTCTTTCGCTTGTGCGATCGCTCCATTGTTGTCACAATACAGAGCAATGGGGCTATCAGCACTAGGAATGACACTCAAGTCGCCAACAAACTTTCTAATCCAAACAGCTTCCTTTGATGTGTCTGACGCTGCAATATACTCACCTTCTGTAGTAGAATCTGCAGCGGTCGCTTG